CTTTTGAGCTCGAAGACTAGACTAGAGAAAAATTCAAAAATTAGGAGGCCGCTGTCATTTGTAAGGAGCACACGGAGCTCCTGGGATTTGTACATCTCCGTTTTAATGTACGATTTTGTTTTTATAAATATAAATAAAGTGATGCACAGATACCAGTTTTGCGAGTACAAGTACTGGTAGTTGCCGAGTACTTACAAGTACGAGTACTGATACATTTTTGTTTATTGTCATGTGACAGTTTTTCTAAAACAATACAGACAAATGATTTCAGGACAGTGGTGGAGCGCCAGAGCCAGGTCTCAGCAGCAACCTCTGCAACCCTGGTAGTTCTCATGAAAAGGCCAAGTATCTGCACTGGTACTCAAAAAGTATCTGTGCATCCCTAATATTTTCTAATTCTTCTGTATCTTAGGTAGGAATATTCACTCTCTATATCTGTCCTGGTATGCTTTGCTGCCAGAACAGAAAGTGTTGAGAAAGCTTAAATTTTACAGTTATCAGAAACAAGAAATTGTGCACAATATATTAATGGCAGCTAATGAGAGCTGAATAAGAGGGGCCACAATTTACCACAATTGAAAGTGATTTTCTCTCCCTTCCTGTTGCTTCTCTGGGACATGAAGTAAAATAAAATATCCTCAGTCAGACAAAGACTGCAAACACAAGGCTAAAAGGAGTCATATCTATTTCCTACAATATATAAAACATTAAAAAAATTATCTTTTTGGCTTCTGATATAATCACAAAATTAATTCAGACGTTCAGACCAAAAGCACATTCAGATAAAAGCATGATTATAAAAAGAAAATCAGCACTTAAATCAAAGGAGTTGGATAAAGGAACTGACTGCATCATTTTCTATTCCATTTGTCACATAATGAAAACATCCACCATATGACTCACATTTGAAGGGTAAGTAAGACATTTTTTCCTAATTAAAAACACCTCAAAAGGATCAGATCATTTAAAAAAAGAAAAGGCTTTAAAGTGAAACTGTCAGTCACTTTAAAAAATCCAGCTGAAAATTCCAATACAATAGAAGAGCTATTATACCCACCCGTGTCTCCTACCATTACTCTGTTCCGGTACTGCAGCCTCCACCAGCCTATTCAGCATTTGTCATTTCCAGTAGTGTTGGATGCTTGCTGCTAGCCTGATGTTCCTGCTGCATGTTCTGGTTTTGTCCCTTGACTCCTGGGCACAGAAGTGATGTAAGGGGTAAAAAGATAAAACCACAAGCAGCCATTTTGCTCCTTCTCAGCATCCCTCGGTGGTTTAAGGATCAAAGGATTCTACAGTTGACAAGTTACACTTCCTTACATAATTTTGCAGCTATATGCTTCAGGAAATGTGTTATGGCGCAATAAGTATTGTACATTGCAATCTTTACTATAATGTTAAGTTCTGAAGTGCCATAACCCTTTTCTTTAATTGGGTAAATACAGCCCTCAGTAGACATAATGCGGTCTACAGAAGACAAATTGTGTCAAGTTGTCCTTTAGCTAATTAATTATATATGTACTGCCAACAATCTGGTCTCTGCAGGTTGTGCAACTTGGATGCTTCTCGGTCACCTACTCCCCTGTGAGTCTTCTGCTGTTCCCTGCAGTAATTCCGCTTGACTTTCCTGAAGGGGCTGAGGGGTCAAGACATTAATATAAACCACAGGAGCAGATTTCTTCTAAGGGATGAGGTTTCATTTTGTAAAACGATAAATTAGTGGCGAATTCATAAGATTAAAATTTAGGTTAACAGGTGACTTTTCAACGGAATCCACTAGGTTGAATTTTATCACCAGGGCTGCCCCCACCTTATGGAATTCTCTCCCACACCACATCAGGCTCTCACTATCCCTACAGGGCTATAAAAAATCCCTCAAAATAAAATTAGAGAAGCATATCAGCTCGCCCTTTGATATTTCACCCTATACAACCTTCCCTTCTGCTCCCCTTTCACAGTACTCCCCAATCCCCTCACATTTTATTTGGTATACATCTGTAGTCTCCCCTTCCCCACCTCTGTGTCTTTGGTCCCCTTCCTCTTAGACTGTAAGCTTGTTTGGGCAGGGTCCTCCTCACCTACTATTTCTGTATATCAATGATGCTTGTCGGTGTTTCTTACTTGTCTTGTCTAAATGATTGTACAGCACTGAAGAATATGTTGTCTCTATATCAAAAGTTGTAATTGTAGGGGGCGCTAAGCAGCCGAACGACATGGCCGCATGTTAGTTCGGCTCCACACCACCCGGGCGTGAGACCACTACCGACTTGCCCATTCCTCCCGCAATCGGGCAACCTCACCCACCCCCGCCACGTCTGAACCCTCGGGCACTGTATGGGACGCTACTCCAGGGCTGCGCGGTCCACACAACGAACACCGGCAGCAAAAATAAAAACGCGCTCGGCTCCCAAGATGGCGTCCGACCCCCCCTCGCCGGCTCAATCCACATCTCAGGATCTGATCGAGGCTACAGACACCTCGTCCCGGGACAGTTTCCCCTCACAGCCGCTCAGTGCACAGCAGAATAGCGACTGCAGGGATGCAGCTCTCCTGGAGAAATTTAAGCTGCTGCTTCAGAGGGAATTACAGGCCGCCACTGACAAGCTTGCCACTCGTCTTTCTAAAGACATCAAGGAACTGGGCACGAGACTACACGACGTGGAATACAAGGTAGATGACATTATTACAGTTGTTGATTCCCATGAGCAAGATATAGAAACAGTTAAAAGTGACCTTTCCACTGCTCTTCTCAAATTGGAGGACTTGGAAAATAGAAATCGCAGGGGAAATCTCCATATCAGGGGGGTGCCTGAACACGTGGAGGACCTGAACGCCACAGTTACCTCCATGTTTCAAGAACTGCTCCCTGCGTATCCAGTCGAGAGGCTCGAAATGGATAGAGTACATCGTGATCTGGGCCCCAAACGCACTAATGGCCCCCCACGGGATATAATTCTGAAACCCACGTATTATAAAACCAAAGAGGCAGTGATGCAAGCGGCTTGGGAACAACGCACCCTGCATTTTCAAGATTATGATTACCACATCTATGCTGACTTGGCTCCCCAAACCCTTCAGCCCTGAAGAAGCCGGAAAAGTCCTAGAACAATTACAATTCTCCCCCCCGGCGAACATCACCACAACCCAACAGCTCGTTTCCCCCCCAAAGGAGCGACGACTGGCACTGCAGGGGGCGGGGCGGGACGTGTGACACACACACGCCTCCTGTGACTCACCTCCCCTCCCGCCTCATGTTACTATGGACGCGGCCGGGAGGGGAGGTGAGTCACAGGACCCGCCCCCTCACTGTGAAGCCCGTCGGCAGTGCGGGGCCCCGGTGTCCCATTTTGCAGGACCGGACCGCACTGAGACTGTGTTTGGCCCGGTACCATTTGATCCGCGGACCGGGGGTTGGGGACCACTGATCTAGAACATCAGGCACTGTTAGATTAAGGTATACCTGTTCGTGTTTATTATGCTACCACATTCACAAATTTATTGAAGTGGTGCTCAAGTATGTACCCTTTTAACCCTACATATACGTCCTATCCCAATCCCTCTTCCTCCCCTCCATTCCCCCTTCCCCCAATTACCCTCCTGATTGCGGGAATGATTGCTGAAATAATATTACAATGCTTTTTCGCCCTCCATGCCCGGGTGGTTACGGCACCCCCAGACCTGTCGAAATACTGATTAGTATTTCGATATAAGCGCCGATATAAGCGCCACGACTCAGCGCCGACGCTGAACTGGATTATTGTTGTTTTGTGTTCTTGTTGTCCATGTACTATCTTTCTTCTCTCCTTCCCTTCTCTTTCTTTTTCCCCTTTTTTCCCTTATAGGCATGAGATTCTCTACTTCTGCACTTTGAACATACGGAGGCGTTCACACACTGAGCCATCAGCAGAGGCTCCATTCACACATGTATCTTTACGTGCGATTAGGGTTTCCGTTCTCCTGCAGTAAGAATGCCTAATCTGGCGTTTAAAAGCGACAGCTGTCACCCATTCAAGTTAATGATCAGTTGACAGCTGCTGCATGTAAACGCCTGCACACCGCATGTAAACGCCTGCACACCGCATGTAATGGCATGTGATACGATTACATTTGGTTAGGAATCAATCACTCACCCTGCATTGTGCATTCAGGGAGAGTGTTTCCTAACCACATGTAATAATATTACATATTATAACATGTTGTGTGCAGTTTACACGCAGCTGCTGTCACCTGATCATTAAATAGAATTGGTGACAGCTGCGACTTGTAAAAGCCAGATTAGGGATTCCTGCTGAAGGAAACCGCAAGTTCCTGATGCAGGAATCACTAATCGCACCTAAACCTACCAATATGAATGGGGCCCTATCCTGAGTATATTAGTGTCCGTAGTACCAAACCGGATATAGTTACATTTTATTTTAACCAGTTAACATCCGCGGTGTTAAACCCCCTTCCTAGATTGTCGAGTGGCTCCCGAGTGAAATGAGTTTGAGACCCCTGGTTTACACATTCTGAAGTTTTTTTGCTGTCTTTGACCCTGTTGGAGAGATAGTGACCCCCTTCCCGTCACACTGACAGCAGCCATCAAGACAGGAAGTGAGGAGAAATTTACACAACATGGACATAGCAATAAAAAACTGACAGAGCTTCTAACTTTTCCCACGCTATCCAAAACAAAATAAAGCATTTTGGCATAAATTAAAGAATTTAATTTTCCTGTATTTGTAATGCAATCTAATAATGTAGGGACATTCGCTCACAAACCCCTTTCAAGGAGCAACTAGTAATTCATAATAATGAACGAGCCTCTTTAATACGCTCTCCATAACCAGACTAGAACACTCTTTAGCATCTACAAAGGAAACAAAGCAAACCACTCAACACCTCGAACAGCCTTCATCACACCTGCTGACTCCTTGCCCCAAGCCTGACCCCTCGCTAAACAAATACAGTACTTCAGCGCAGGAATATTTGGCCTCTCTCGCTTGCCGTCAAGCGGTCGCAGCGTACTGACGTCTCTGTGCGTCATCTCCAAGGCAGCGGAAAATGGCGGAGGCTTTACCGGAGGCCGGGCGGTACTTCTGTCATAACTGTTCCGCCGAAATAAGCCCTCGTCTGCCGGTGAGAAGGGTGGGGCGATATCGGTGAAGGGGAAAGGGGGTCTGTGTGCCGTGCAGAGCGTTAGTGTTTTGTGGAAGGAGGAAGAAAACCATGGCAACGGTGCCTTCACCGGCTGTCAAATGGAATGGCAGGGGGTGGGTAATGAGGAATGCACGCTCCGCTTACTCGGTGTCAGCACTGACATGTGGAGCATATGGCTGACCCATAGACCGCTCGCTGCTTGGTTACTGCCTGCTCTAGCACCATGTATGGCAGTGTGATGCCGCCTCCTGCTTAGGCCGCCATAGCTGCTGCTGGGGGGACTACGTTCCCCAGATCATTACTAGAAACCGTTCTCCTTATTGTGTCCAAGAACATTCTAGAGACCACATTTCTCAGAGGTTGAAGCAGCTAATGTCATAAGAATCCTGCTCTATGTGCCTGAATTGTATGCTGCATAGATGCCCATATTATAACCCATATTCAGGGTGTAATCTGAAACATGGTCACATTGAATCCACTCCTTGTGCCTCACACTTACCTGAATCACAGGGTTTTTCTCCTTGCGGGCTTCTGTTTATTTAAATGCAAGTGGAGCCACACACAGTCCAATGGGGGCTCACACTGCACTCCTGACCGAGAAGCCCCATATAGTGTTTGTGTGTGTGTGGGGTGCGTGCTGAAGTGGCCGCGGATGGTGCAGCCAAGTACTCACAGAACAGAATAAATGGTCACCAGCATTCAAATTTTCCTTAATATCCTTTTATTCATTCTAGGAGGTAATATCACCATGCGTAGCAACGTTTCGGAACCCATCCGGTCCCTACATCAGGCAAAAAGAGTATAATCTATTCACAGACCCTTTAACAGGATCTGTTAATCAAGAAACTATAAGTCTTGTCAGCCACCATGTTCTCAATGGAATAGAAGTGCGATGGCGTCACAACACTTGTAGCCTAATCATTCTTCCTTCACGCCTCTATAACTGAAGAGTCTGCAGGACCCCGAGCATTGCACCCACGATGCACTGATCACGGTTGCAATCTTTTACTGGCTCCAATGCAAAAAAAATAAGAAATGCACATTTTACATTTTGTGAAGAAGTATTCATTTAGTTTTTTTTTTTTTTTTATTTCCCCAAAAAGTGGAATTGGCCTTCAAACACATTGACACTTTATTTGCTGTAGGTTCACCAAGTCATTGTAGGCAGATAATTACTTTAAAGTTCATCTTTTTTGCAAAGAAAATAAATAAATGCACTTGCATTATCATAAGAAAAAATAAAATGTACTTTTTTTTAAATCTTTTGCATTGGAGCCTGGAAAGCATTGCAACTGCAAACAGTGGATCTGGCTCCTTCAGACACTTCCAGCAGCCCCTGTCCGCATCAGGGTATGAACTTTCGGGTAAGGGACAGGAGGAAGTATGAATGGACTACAAGTGCGGTGACGTCGCCACACCTGTCCTCTATTGAGAACTACAAGGCCCCCCGCTTCGGAGGCTGATGGGACTTGTAGCCTCTCTATTCCCAGGAAAGGATCTGGGGGTTAGGGATGCAACCATATTTCATGTTACACTCTGAATATGAATGTAGCATGACACAAAAAGATGGAGTTAGTCTTTATTAGGGGCTGGTCATTCATTTGAAAGGGGCAGAGTCTTGCAACAAGCATATTAACCTACTGAACAATTTAAAGCAACACGAAACTCAGGAGTTGGGCCCCATTCACACTAAGCGACATACCTTTTGCAGCGTATCCGCGCGGCCAGGATATTGCAAATTTAAGGGGCGACGATCCGGCGACGGTAGGACTTCATTAAAAAAAATAGGAAAATTGCGCAAAATTCGCCGAAAAAAGGGTCCTGCCAGAGCGACGGGCGACATGGAGCTAAGACAGCTCCATTGAATAGCATTGGCCGGCGGCTTCTCGCGATATCGCGTGGCAAAAATGCGCAATACCGTGGCGGAAATCGCTTAGTGGGAATGGGGCCTTAAACCTTTAAAAATACATTTAAGCACCTTAACTATTAACAATACTGGAGAGAATTTATCAAAACTGGAGGAGACAAAATCTGGAGCAGCTGTGCATGGCAACCAATCAGCTTCTCTCTTCAGTTTGTTCAGTTAAGATTTGAAAATGAAAGAGAGAAGCTGATTGGTTGTCATGCACAGCTGCTCCAGAATTTGTCTGCCTTAGTTTTGATAAATTCCCTTCAATGTATTTTATTTGTGTATTACTCAGCTGTAGATCATCTCTGAATTGGTCCTGACACTGTCCTTCCTTCTGGAGGGTGGCTACTTTTGTTCCCCATGGTCCCTGTGTGTGTTTGTAAAGTAGCCACTGCTCCAAGCTCACTCATGTGATGGACTACAATTTTTCATGTTTAGTTTACTAACTTGTCCTGAGATTGTAGTCCATCACAGGAGGGAGCTTGGAGCGGTGTGACTACTTTACAACACACAGGGACCATGGGGAACAAAAGTAGTCACCCTCCAGAAGGAAGGACAGTGTCAGCACCAATTCAGAGATGATTTGAGGATGTACAGCTGAGTGATACACAAATAAGATACATTTTTGTTAATAGGTAAGGTACTTGAATGTATTTTTAGGATTTAATGCCTGAGTTTAGTGTCACTTTAATTTTAAAAGACTGTATATACATGAAGATTTATTGTAAAAAGGACAAACGCAGCCAAAAAGGTATTGTTCATTAGTATAGTATTTATGCATGTGTTTAGATTTAGGTTTTGGTCAATGAATAACAATATCATCTGTGGCATCATATGTTGTCATCCTTGTATTTGCTGCTTGGTTTTTCTGTGTGGTGTCTTGTGCTATTGGAGCTCTGTCTGCGAAAACGCCATGCCCAATTTCTTCCCAGGCCCTCCAGCGCTTGCCAGGGTTCTTGTAATGGGGATTATTGGGGTCACAGAGGTTCGTGTGGGTCCTCACTAGGCAGATTAAAGTCCCCACTTCCAGCGTGAACACTCCCGAATCCTCCATTTTCTTCACAAGCCTAAAGTTGCTTGGAGAAGGAGACCGGTTGTCAGGTGCAAAAACTTGCGGAAAATGCACTTGTGTCATGCATATTTCAGGCCTCTCACTGAAATCTATGGTGTCGCTAGGATCCAGTTCCCCCTTTCTCCTATTTCATTATGACCACGCTAGGTAGAGAAGCAGACCTGTGCTGCCTTGGTCAGTTGACTGATACCTTCTCCCTGCTTGGAGATGCATGCGGAGTCAGTTTGGCTGTCATGCCCCCTACCCAACCCTGCTGTGTTGATTGACAGAGGTTCCTGCAATGTGTATGTATAGCCAAATCCTTATTTCAGTTCTCTATTAAGTAGGAAAGGGTTGAAACATCTGTCAGTTTATTTCTTGCAGTCTATGACCCTTTGGGGATATCCCATTACTTTTTGTGTGTGACAGTGGTCCTGAGGGCAAATAGAGAGGGTTAATTGGCCTAGCAGGGGAAAAGACAGCAATACAAACCTGACAAAGGTTCTAATGTAGGAACTAGAACTGGTCAACAGCCCATTGGTCAGGAAACTAGGTAAACAAATGGATCAGTTGCCCCTGCCAACCTGTCAGGGTTTTGTAAATAAGCATAGTATATGCATCTCCAGGGAATCTCCAGCTGGGCCAAGCTTCAGTATCTTGCTAGTCGGCCCCGTTGGCTCTCAAAACAATCAAACTGAAGCTTGGCCCAGTGGGAGATTCCTCCATCCACACAGTTTAGCGTAGATGGAGGAATCTGTTGCATATTTTCCATCTGACCATAGAAAATCTGTAGCTAGTGTTTAGGTGTATAGCCAGCTTTACAATGCAGCACTCTATACCTGAGCAACCAATTGCTAGGCTAGTGCACAGGGCTTTGAGAGCCAGCGGGGCCGACTGGGAAGATACTAGGGATGCACCGATACCACTTTTTTAAGACCGAGTACCGATACTTTTGATCAAGTACTCGCAGATACCAATTACCGATACTTTTTCTTAAAGGGACAAGTCACATTTTTTCTAAAGCAATACAAACTAATGCTTTAAGGTCACTTTCTTAATATTATGATTCATGAGATGACGAGGGAGCATGACGGCGGCTTCTCGGCCAATCAGAATGCCGGGCGCTGCGTCATTACATGGCGCCCGACTTCCGGATTTGCTTGTGTCCTGACCAATCGGGAAGCCGGGCAGCGCATCATTGCACGCTACCCGGCTTCCTGATTGGCCGGGAAGTCGGCTCGATGCTCTCTCATCACAAGTGACGAGAGAGCATGGAGCCGTTTCCTGGCCAATCAGGAAACCGCGCAGTGTGTAATGATGCGCTGCCTGGCTTCCTGATACAGGAAGTACTTGTGCTAGGTATCGGAGCATTTGGGCGAGTACGGGTACTCACCCAAATACTCGGTATCGGCACCGATACCAGTATCGGTGTCTGTGCATCCCTAGAAGATACTGAAGCTTGGTCCAGTGGAAGATTCCTCCATCCACACAGTTTAGCGTAGATGGAGGGATCTGTTGCGCTTTCTCCATCTGACCATAGAAAATCTGCAGATAGTCTGTAGGTGTATGGTCTGCTTAAGACGTGGGTTATGAAAGAGTCCTGGACATAGGTGGATTAAGCTGGGTATACACTGTTCTAGATTTGTATTGTTCAGCTGGACAGCATGGATAAGGGACTCTCAGCTGCTGACTTTTGTATTTCACCAGCTGGCACCCACAGTTGTTAAAATACTCGAACAGTGACTGCAGCTGACTAGCTGCAGTCACTGGCCAATGTTTTCCCCTAGGTTTCTTTGACAAAAGTCGATCAAAAAAATGACTTGTCTAACTGGGTGGTGACAGACTGTTCCTGCTGAATCTGACAACATTTTGATACGTGTAGGGCCAGCTTTACTGTGGCAGCGGCTCACAACAAACAATGCAGAAGGCTGATCCTAATGTAAAAACATCGAAAAAGGCTTTGTGACCTATGACTGCATTTTTCAGGCATATTGTCACAACAGATTGTCACATGTTACC